CTGTCTGCATCACCCTTCACATCTCGAATTTCCCATGGTCCTCTATACGCAGGTAGCAATTTTTGAGAAATTCCTAATTCAGGCACAGATTCCTTAGACTTGACCCAGACTAAACCACCTTCTGCAAACGTTGAAGGTCTGTGGTGTTTGTTAGCTTGTTCTACCATCTTGAATTGCGCATGCCTGATATTCTCTGTAACTTGCTGTAGGTCTTTCTCATATTTGAGTGCAAACTCACGGGTGCCGGGTGGCAGTCTTTGAATCTGGTCCCAATTCAGTCCATCTATAGCGGCTTCCGCCCTTTGTGCACCCGGTTCACGTCTGCCTGTCCACTCTCTGTCTTCTCTTTAATCTTGGAGGCTAGCATCTTTTCTGCCGACAATTCTGCTGTCAACTGTTGCATATCCTCTTCCTCTTCCTTCGCCTTCTGCATGGCCTGAGCCATATCCTCTTGTTTCTTCTTCTCCATCTTTTTCCTCTCTGCTTCTGCAAGGCGATCAACAACTGTCGAAATGGGGGGCCCGACACCAGCTGCCAAGGCCTGTTCCCCACTGTTGGAGGCTTCTCCTGGTCTGCCGGCGCCTCCTTCCTTCTCTTCTTTTTCTTCTTCTTCACTCTCTTCCCCTTCATCTCCATCTCGAACCTTCCGCTGTCTTCTCTTCTTCGGTGGTTCCTCATACCCTGGGGCTGTTGGGTGTAAGGTATGTTTTCTGCTACGGTCGTCTATCACCGGTAAGTGCACACATTGCTAGAATCCCTGGGGGAACAAGAAACGGAGGAGGGGTTGGAGAAGAACGGACGAGGCTATGATACCGAACATGGGATGGTCATCCATCTTGGGGGTAAAAAATAGTACAGCAGTCAGCCCGGATGGGCGCCGCTCCACAACCCCCTAGATGTAGACTTGCCCCCTAACTTAGACTCTATGCCCGTTGACTCTAAATTTATCTATATAGCGCTGACTTAACCCGGATACACTCAACTACTAAGTTGTAGCAAATTACCGTACTGGCCACAGACAGTTTAAGGACAGCCCGGAGGTCCTCAAGAATTCCTCTCTGTTGCAGACAGGATGATGAGGCCTGTGGTATCCCCACTTCCCTTGGTCAGCGCTCGTACACACACGGTTCGCTCGCACGCCGGTGAGTACCGGCCCTTGGGCTAGTCGGGTTGTTTAATGAGCGCCCACCGCTCAATGCCTGCGCTTGCTCGCCCGGGAGTCAGTGCTGGTCCTTGGGCTAGACGGGTTGTTTAACGAGCGCCTACTACTCAATGCCCATGCTTCCCGTTCGTAGGCATGCCCCTATTCCGCCTATCACGTAGGACCTACTTGACACAACAGAAAGACGAGTCTTGCAGCTCAACCCAGGGAAAGACCAACAAACAGTGAATCAGCGTCATACACGTGAAATGCAAGGCTAAGGACGTCGAATACCTCACCTCCAAGCTCGCTGAAGACGTCTTGTCGTCCGCTGATGCCGCCGAGTCGCTTGATCAAGCTTGAAGTCTGCTGCAGGTACATGTTTTCACCTTTTTTCCTTTCAACTCTCCTTCGGCCAATCCCCACTTTTTTTTTTTTTTCTCATTCGCCTGCCGGGCTTGTTCCAAGCACACAGGCTTTCCTCTATTTCTCACTACACTTTTGTACGGTTTAAGCTGCACCACTCTTCTTTTTTTTTTAAATGACACTACGCTGTCCTTCCTCCTCAAGCACTGCAGCCCTGCACCTTTCTTCGACGTTGGTGGTTGCCACAGTTGCACCGTTGAGTGGGTGGTCACAGTTGGTGTCCACTGGACTTGAACTCCGCTCTGTACTTCAACAGCTCGTGGGTGTGTCAACTGTGTCAGGGGCGCAGCTGCTGGGACTCAAACCCAGATCTATACTCCAGCAGTTCGTGAGTGTACCAACTGGACCAGGGCCTGATCGTTGCCCTGCTTAGGGCGCTCTCACACTCAAACCCCCATCACCCTGATCAGGGCACACTCACACTCAAATTCCCATTCCTTTTGTTTTTTTTTTCCCCTTCCTATTCCGAACCGGCTTCATACTTGCGCACCCGCTTACACACGCACATGTACACACTGCCTGCTGCCGCACTTCACACGTCTCATGCGCTGCTTGTTGTGCGGTGGCCCGCTTCTCGTGGAGTGCTCTTCTCCTTGCTGCGAGCCTCCCCCTTACACTGCACGCTTCTCCTTTCTGCTGCGCTTCACGATGTGCACGTGTGCGTGCCTCTCCGTTCACTGTACCCGGTTCATTACTACCACGTGCCACTCCCGATAGCGCCTTCTCCTACACGCACCTTCACTGTGCACCCTCTTCTTACCTGGTGCACATATCTAATGCTGCGTGCCTACTTCCTTGTGATGCGTGCCTGTGCTCACCTTCTTGCTGCAGCACGCCTCCTCGATCAGGCTGCTTCTCCTTTGCGCGCCCTTCTATTGCATCAAGCGCCTCTCGCTACCTGTCTTGCTCGTCCTTCTGCGTGGCTACTCTCCCATCCTGCGGTGTACGACTCTCATGCATACTTGCCTTCACCGTGCTTGCTCTGGCTGTGCACGTGTTCCTCAACTGCCCGCTGGCTCTCCACATGCAGGCCACTCTCGTGAGCACAATGGGAGTTTTGCTCTGATACCAATGCAATGATCTGGTCTAACCTGGATCAAGACGACGACTCAACAGCAAGATTCACCCGATATGAGCACACACACAACCTAATTACAACTTGAAATGATATAGACAGGTTCTTCAAGCTGGTGGCTATGGCTGCTGGCGACAACAACTAGCAGATAAGTTACTCTCTCTCTGTCTCCTAACACTACTACCTACCTTGCTCAGGTTGTACGATCACTCTCTGAATGTCCTCATGCTCTTCCTCTCTCTCTCTTGCTGCACTCAAGCTTATAGCTATGGTGCCCAGTGCCGTCGACTACTCTCCCGACACTGTTCAGGTTCCAAGATCTTGGTGCCCAAGCAACACAGCAGCGCGTCCGCCTCTGACAGAATCGAAGTAGAGGAGGTTCCTGACGTTGGCCTCCCTTTTGTGGTTGTGCCTCTGCCTCCCTTGTGATTGCAGACTCTCCCTGCCAAGCCCTGCCACGGCCGACAGAGATTCAGTCTGTCGTGGCCTTTCCCTGGGACTGAGCTGCAATTGAACCGGGACCGGACACATGGCGACGTCCTACCTACTGACTTCCTGGGCCTTGGGACTGTCTGCAATGGGATCAGGACTGGACACGTGGCGACTTCCTACCTACTGACTTTCAGGGCCTTCTACTATTCGTACCGTTCTTATCCCAGTAGATCTCTATTTTGGTCCGTACAGTACCTACCATACAGTACAAAGCGGAAGGTTCAAGGAAATGGGACACGGTCCAGGGGCCGTACTGCGGCAGTATGTGAATCCTTTCATTTGACTGAGGGTGACTTCAGAATTCCTTATCGAGTCTAAGATTAGGGAGAAAGCAAAAAACTCGAACTAAACCCCTTTAAACCACCTCTCCCCCCACTGGCCTAAATTCGGGGCAACCGGTAGCACAGGTTCAAGTGGGTTAGGTAGCACAGTGGGGAGAACCAGGAGAATGACAAAAATGGAAAATGTGGCGAATTGCAGCTGCGATTTATCTCGCGGCTTAAATTATTTTTTCTAATTTTTAAAATATTTTTCCTGAAAAGACTGTGACCAAATCTACGGACTCTTGAAGTTTCAGATTTCTCGACACTTTTTTTTTTTTCATCGTGAAAAATCGCTGAAGTTGATGTACTTTTCCCGTTGGTACACATGTGGTAGAGCAGCAAAAATGGAAAGTGGCATTTATTTCCTAGTCTTAATTTTTTTATTTGTTTTTTTTTAATATGTTTCCTTGCAAGACAGGGTACTTTTTCTGTTGGTCTCACGTGGTAGAGTGGCAAAAATGGAAATGTGAGGAATCGGCGCGGCATTTGTTTCACGTTCCATTTTAAAAAAAAAAGAAAAAATTCTGATATTTTTCCATGAAAGATCACAATCTAATCCACAAGATCTCAAAAATTCAGATTTTTTCATTGAATCGTCTGAGGCAAAAAAATTGCCAAAGTTGGCGTTTGAAAATTGTGGGATTGGACCCGCCTGGACCTTCTGGTCGACGCTCCCCTAAAGACGTGCTCGGTAAGGCCAGGAAGGCCTAATTTAGGCCAGCGGGGGAAGTTGTGGTTTAAGGCCCATTTATACCTTCCACCCCCCCCCCCCCCCCCCCCCCCCCCCCCTTTCTCCCCCCCCCCGCAGCAGGCAGTAATAAATACGAAAAAAGCCCAGGTTCGGGCTGCTTTTGTTTGGTGAGTGCAGAAAACCCTCACGGATGGGGAAAAAAAAAGAAAAAAGAACCCAGATTTTTTACATGCTTGGGTAGGCCCGGGCGACCTGCATGGGTGCTCAGCTGACCGCCCCTGAAAGTTCTTTCCATCATGTTACAATTGAATGTGTTAATTAGTTTTATGGAATCATGGAGATGAAACCTTGGACCTTGTGTGAATGGTGGGACAAGCTGCCATGGACAGAAAATTGGAGACTTTTCTTTTCCTCCCCTTGACAAAAAAAACTTAAAATTGATCACCTGCTGCCCCTTCCCATCTCGTCTCCTTCTTGCCCCTCCCTTCTCGTCTCCTCCCTGCCCCTCTTATCTCCTCTCCTGGCCGCCCCTCTTCTCCTTTCCTCCCTACCCTCTTCTCCTTTCCTCCCTACCCTCTTCTCCTCTCCCCCCCCCCCCTACTTTTCCTTTCCTCCGTAGCCCTCGTGTCCTCTCCCCTACATCCCTCTTTTCTCCTCTCCTGCCTTACCCTCACTTCTCCAGTACTCCACACCTCTCTCTTTTGCTCTCCTCCCCGCTCTTCTTCTCTCCCTCCTACCCTCCTCCTCCTCTCCTCCCTACTCCTCCCTTCTCCTCTCCTCCGGCCCCTCTTCACCTCAAAAACTGACATTGGGTGCGGTCATGTTTTCAATTCCATGTTGTCGGTTGTGCAGGTCGCGTCTGGACGCGTCTCGAGCCCGGTATTTATCTTTCTGTGAATCTCACAACGTACCAACCCTTCCAATGCACCCCACCTCCCACTGCCAAAGTCACGAGGGGCAGGCCCCAATGCACTATTACTAGGTCTGTGTTTAAAAATCCAACAGGGGTTATTCATCACTTATGTCAGCCATTGGATTTCTTTTCAAAGACGTAGACATCCGCTATGTTGGTGCATGGAAAGCATGGATCTGGTCATACACATCGCCATAGACTTTCCTTTCCTCTGCGACTATTACAAACATTGGGAATCATGTGACAACACACATTTCCCATACCACCTCACACGCACGTTTTGATTCCCCCCCCCTAACAGGTCCTTACGGTCCTGGCTCCATATCCATTCGAGGGAGCATCAGTCCGGTCGGTTCCTAATCCCCTGGCAAGCCGTAATTTGCATCAAATGAACACACACGCTTCCTTCCGTTTGGCCGATCGCATGGAGGATTGACTGTCAGCTTGCCTGCCTTCTAGAGATCCTCTCCGCTTCACCGCGGCGGATCTGTCACATCAATTCTCACAAACGAAGCGGGTCCCTTGTCATTCCTTGAGATTGTCCGCCGGATAGCTGCCGAGTTCAGTCCCCTGCCAGAGTAGCTTAGCCCTGCTTCCGCTGCTGGTGCTTTGTTCCTTGTTCTGTCCAAATGGTTCTGTGCCTCGTGTGTCTGGTATTCTGACGAATGACTGTCGTGTCAAAGCACATCTACATCATCTACATCTACACTACTATAAGAATCGCTATTTCTTATCGCACGGCCTGAATCGCAGGCCGGTAACGCGCCGCAGACGGCCCAGATCGCAGGCCGATCAGAAAGTCTTATGATCGGCCTGCGATCTGGGCCGTCCGCGGCGCGTTACCGGCGACGGCCCAGATCGCAGGCCTGCCCACCCCTCGAATCGTGTCCCATCCCTCCGCCCGCCCGTAATCGTGGCGCCCCCCCCAAAAGGTGCCGTTTGGTACCCGAAGCGCCGAATCGCCCTCGCGCCCGTTTTTCGGTTGCCGGCCCGCCCCTCCAATCGCCCGCGCGCAATGATGTTGCCGCCCACGGCACTTTGCGCCTTGGTCGGTGCGCGTGTGCTCGGCGGTGCTCTACGGCTCTCTCTCTCTCTCTCTCGGTGCTCATCGTGGATCGTGGATCCGTGCGTGGTCGGTGCTCATCGTGGATCGTGGATCCGTGCGTGGTCAGTGCTCATCGTGGTCGGTGCTCATCGTGCTCCGTGCTTTCGGCGCTCATCGTGCTCATCGGTGCTCATCGTGCTCATCGGTGCTTGGTGCTTGGTGCTTGGTGCTTGGTGCTTGGTGCTCATCGTGCTCCGTGCTCATCGTGCTCGGTGCTCAT